AACTCGATGGTCAGGAAGCGGGCTACGAGCGAGGTCTCAATGGTACACGGCATCGTGGCTAACTGGATGAGACTGATCCGCAGTGGGCAGGGGGGGACTGAGATCAGCGCTGACGAGAAATGTCGACATAGTGACGATCGAGGGTGGCATGGTACGAAGGCGACAAAGGCAACCTCGATGGGCCTCGAAGGTGGTGCGCTCCTCAGAGGATAGGGTACTGCGAGGAGGGACGAAACCCTACCAGAGGTCTACCTGAGGAACAACGAAAGTGCGGGCGCCAGCCTGTGCAAGCCGATTGCAAGCACGACCAATGTCGGACATCGCCATCAGCAAGCGGTCGGCCATCGGGATAGCCTCCTCATCCAAGTGGTATTGGATGACATCCCGAAGCTCGAGGTCCTCGGGAGTGTCCCCAAGGGTAAGGTTGACCTCTATCGTAGAGTCGTCGCCGTACTCAAGAGAACTTAGCGTCGAGAGAATGGCGCTCCAAGTTGAGTTGAGTTGCAAAAGCAGCCAGAGAAAGATGAACGACCTCGAGTGGTGTCGCGTGACTGGGAGGTGGCGACATGTCACGAAGAGAACCGGGCGTTGGAGAAGCGACTCTGCATCCTCTAGTACTGTCGAGCAGCCTCGTAGGCCTCCTCTGTGGACACGAAGGTTTGTCTCCAGATCTCTATGCAGTAATCAAGTGGTAGACTGACGAGAAACCTGTTGGTCACAAGAACCCCTGATAAGAGTGTGCCATCGCAAATGAGGCGGGCGTCCTGAAACATCTGGATGTGATGGTCCTGATCTGTCGGTGCGAAGGACTTAGGCCATCGCGTCTAGGTGACCCTATCTAAGGCCTCAGTTGCATCGTGCCAAGCGCCATAGCGGTCCTGAAGAAAGGTGGTGAAGTCTGCAAAAGTGGGAGCCTCACCTGTGTGAATACAATGGGTATAATAGCTCTCCCATGCGGTGAAAGTGCCACCTCGCAATTTAGTTGCGAGTAGAGAGCACCACGACTCCTGACTAGTGTTCGTCAATATCAATGCGCATGTGGCTGCCTACAACCAATGCAACACGCAAAGTGTATCATCGTAGTCGTGAATATCCGACAGGCGCACAAGGGGGGGACCACTGCGCTGACGCCGAGGGGAGGGAGGCTGAGGGGCCAGGACTGCGCGACAAAAGTTGGGGTTGGTGCAGGGGTGGAAGTGAAAGCGAGTTGTGAGCCGCAGCCGCTGGTGGAAGGTCCAACTGAGGTGGAGACAACGACCGCAGGCACCTGTGACGAAGTGGCGAGGTAGGAGGGTAGAGGCGGAGGAGCAGATCGAGGAAAACCAGCCTGCAAGACCGAAGTAGGAGAAGTGAGGGAAGATGAAGGGAGAGCAACGTGTGAAGGGTTAGGTTGTCTCAAGGTGAGTATCTCCACCTGTATTTGTGCCATGGTGGCCTGCAAGGTAGTCACTCGTTGGGTGCGCGAGGTCGGAGGTGGAGGAGTCAGAGAGGGTACCCTATCGGGGGGAGGCGTAATGAACTGTAGGGAGCCCTAAGGTAGGAGTGTGGGGATAAGAGGACGAGGGAGGGCTCCTGACCGTAGTGTCGTGACCGGTGCGGGAAAATGAGAGGCAACATCGGGATGACTAAGTAAAAATGGGAAAATTTTTTGCCAGCACTTCGCTACCCCCAAGAGGTCAAAATGTGTTGGAAAAAGAGAGTAGGGAGAAAAGAAAAAAAATCGTTAGCACTTTATTACCCCAAGGGGTTTAAATGTGCACTGATAGCAGAAATGACCAAGTCCTAACAAGATGAAGAGATGCCGCAAGAAAAATAAATTTTCAGAATAAATAAAAAATAAAAATAGAATAAATCATAAAATGAGAAAAGAAGTAGGGAATAAGATAATTCGATTTTTTAGAGAAAAAGAGGAAATTGAAATCAAAGAGGAAGACAAAATAAGAAAAACAAAAAAATTAAAGTTGGAGGGGAGGGAAATGAAAAAGTGATGAAGAGAGAGAGAAATATGTGAGAAAGAGAAAAAGATTGGAGTGGGAGGTGGAGGAGATAATGAGGTTGTAGTTGGGGGAGGGAAGGGGGAGAGGAAGGTGAGAGAATGAGAGAGAAAGGGATGGGAAAGGTGGAGAGGAGAAGGAAAGATTTGCAAAAGAGAATAAGTTTGTACGGAGGAGAGGGAATAAAAAAATGGTGGAAGATTAGTGAACAGGGTGGGGTATGAGAGAGCGGTGGGGACAAGGGGAGAGAAGTGGAGAAAAGAAGAGAGGAGAGTGAGGTAGGGTGAGCGATTAGTGGTAGAGTTAAAAAAAGATGATGAGAGGAGAGAGAGGAAAAAGGGACAAGGGTGGGGGAAGAGTTGATTAGTGGAAGGAAAGATGATATACCGAACTCCTGGGCGGCCAAGAGCAACCAATCAACAAACCAAGATCCTAGGGATCGTGGCCTTCTTCAACCCTTAAAGGGATAAGGATGATCTGGGGGACAATTGGCGGTGTGTGTTGGAGTACGCACGTTGTCCTCCAAGAGTAGCGCAACCTTTGTGAAAGGGGTCTTGAAAGTGGCGATAGGTAGTACTACTGTCAAACCGCCGGTGAGACGGTCAGATCTGATCAATGGAGATCAGATCTTGAAAATGTGAGAGATCTTGATCCCCAAACCCTCTTTCCACATGTAGTGCAGATCCCTAATGAGGGGGGTCTTCAAAATCTTCAAATACTGCCACGTGGCACGCTTGAAGATAACCACGGGCAAAGAGAGGAGAGGTAGAGGGGTATCTCAACATCAGTTGCTGCCTATAGTAATAGCGCTTATTGAAAACGAGCGCGCGCGGTTTTGGAGCTTGAAACGAATCACGATCTTTGAACGATCACAACTCCTCAACCAGCGCACGTAATTAAGCAATATGTAGCTTGTTAGAAGCAGCTCGTTGAGAGTTTTCCAACAACCAAAAGGACTGGTGTCATTGGGGGATAGAAATGACGAGCCTTCTTTTTTTTTCCCCCGTGGCAAATGATGGAGGGGGTGAGGAGAGCAGGGAGGAAAGCCTCCTCTAATAACAGTGTGACGGACCCAACGAGATGGCTGTCCCTCGGGATCAAGACGAAAGGATGGGCATGAGGGAGATGGAGATGGAGCTGGAAGGGACAACGCAGTTCCAACGCAGACTCAACACGCTCGTACTCCAAACTGTGCAAATGAAGAATGAGACTGAAAACAGACTGCAGCTTAGGTATACCACCAGCTGACTTGCTGGACTGGACTGGACTGGACTGGACTGGTACTGACAGTGGTACCGAGCAGGATTGGACTGGACTGAATGAGCACACGGCCTGTGGGGTCAGGCCACGCTCTGGTCGCACAGGCCGAACAGGCAAAATAGCCAGATAGCCCTAGCTCTAGGCCAGGGCAGCTAAAGGCGCTCTGCAGCAGGGGGCTAAAAGGATGTTTAAAAAAAAAAAAAAAAAAAAGGATAATTTGCAAAATACCCCCATAAGTTGAGATATATGCCAAAATGCCCATGTAAGATGCAGGCAGAGAGGAATGCCCTTTTGGGCTGAAATCTTTGTGTTTTGCCCTTGTCAGGCCATTGTGCAGATTTGCAATCTGGATCGTGCCATTGGGGTTTGCGCACTTGGCATTCGGGCCTTGGAAAAGTTGGCAAGTACGGGGGCATTTTGCAAAGTAGGACGGTACCCAGTAGATGTATATTGTAAGATGGGGGGTCCAAAGGTATTTCACGATTTATTTATTTTGTCAGAGGGGCATTCCGCTCTACCACATCTTTCAGGGGCATTTTGGCATGTATCTCAACTTATGGGGATAATGGGGGTATCTTGCAAATTATCCCAAAACGGGAAAAAATGACAACCAAGGGAACGCATAAATCAAAACTTTGATTAGCATGGCCCCTTTCGCAAGGATGACAGGTATAAATCGACGCGTAGAGAAGAATATAGCTTAGTGTTTTTTTTGTTTTTTTTTTTTTAATTCCTTTGGTCCATTTCTCAATTACTGCATCTCATCCTTGTGCAGGCGCACGCCACGCAGCAAACTCTTACCACCAAGGTTCTCGAGCCCTGACCCCGGTGTCGAGCGCATCGGTCCGGCACCGCACGGGGCAGCGCGGGACCCTCCCGACCGCGTCACGCAGGAGTTGGTTTATATCCTTCGACGCAAAATATACATGGAGCTTCCATAAGCCGCTCCGGCCGAGTGCGTCAGCCATACCTCTCGCAAACCCCTACGACAGGATAGGGCCTACGTGAGGCACGACTTACCTCCACCTTACGGGAGCCGTCACCTCCCTTCGGTGTGCGTATCCCCGCCGAGCTACCAGTCCACAGTACGAAAGCTAATCAGTTGCAATCGCAAAGGTGGACCAGCCGAGGGCGTTTCTCGTTCGCTGTAGCATAGGGGGTATGCGCGGTGGTACACCTCTATCGAACCCGCACGCGAACTGGCATCTTGGGGGGGCTGAGGTCCCAAGCGCGGTTCGTCGCCGGTCGACTAGGACGCATCCCACACACCATGCGCACACCACTTTACGAACACAAAAATAAAACATACACACACACACATACGAAACGACACAGCACAAACAACGCGACAACGCTCCTAGCCCCTCGGTAGCCAACCCATAACTTTCCAATGCGGAAATCGAATAGCCGTCGCACGCAAGACTTAATATAAAACAGCGTGGTCGTAGGGCTAGCTCATATCGACTCGCAATGCAAGCGTACGCAAGCAGTCGCAATGATGGTGTACCATGTAGTACCCACCCTCGGGCGGTCCTCGTACGCAAGCAGTCGCAATGATGGTGTACTATGTAGTACCCACCCTCGCGTGGTCCTCATTAATCTCGAGGGGCGCATTCGACACTCAAGTGTCGGCTGACACGCGCCTTGAGGGTTAATCTCTTGACGCTGGACAACCGTCATGCGCGGTTGAAGATCACACACCCTCTTCTGCACCTTATGCAGAGCGGGTGGTACACTGGTCCATACCTGTGGTGGCAGTCGCTTCTTACTGTCCTGGAGACGAGTCTCGCTCCGGGCTTGGGCGAAAGTCAAGGGTTTTGACTTTGACGGCTGCCACAGACTACAACGTCCAACCATACAAACTCTAAAAAGCAAGGGTAAAATGAAAATCCCCTTTGTCTCTCAAGACATGATCTAGCTAACCCTTATGCAGAATCACAATAGGCCTCACAAATACTCAGGGCATATATGAATACATATATGAGGTTAATCATATAGGACGATCACTTCTCACAGTCACAGTGGGGCTCCTCTCAACCATATATGTATGCAATCGCAGGCAAGTCACATCCAGAGTCCGAACCACAAACATACCTGCAATCACATCAAAGATTCAACAAGAGTCAACGCGCTATACGAGGTCAACTTCAACCATTTTCTGCACTCACACCCCTTGCCTTAGCCATACAAGCCTCACTCGTGCAACTCTCAAATAAATACTCAGTACTTTTGTTGGATGGCCATTCAATAAAGTCCGGGTGAAAACACAACAAAACAGTTCAATCACAAGGCTAAAGCCTTTAGGTTGAGTGACAGAAGTGAATTGGAGTTGAGTCGTAAAACCGACGAATCGGCAACCGACCTGTTATCAGTGATAACAGAAGATGATCCTCAAGGGATCAAGCTGAATCTAGTCCTAAACTTGGATCAAACGACCAAGAAGACCTGTAACACACGACAGGTCAATCCCCAAGCTAAGATCATAATTGTATAGAGAATACAACTCCATAACACATCCTCACTCAAAATCTCCCTATAAGCTAAGCCTAAGTCTACCTCTAAGCCAGTTTCTAAGCAAAGGTAGACCTACTGCAGAATCTTTCCTATTTAGGGTGGACTACCAGAATCGTCACCTGTCAAAATATAATCTAACTCCTTTAAACTAAGAAAATTTCGGCAGTGCTTCCCGTAGGAAAAGTGTCTTTTCAGAATTTATATCGGCCCAAATATGGAAACATAAATAATCTTTAACTCTGGAAAGTCAAATTTTGTTTAACTCCCTGAATTAGTAGAAATTTGGATAGCACTCCCTTTAGAAAGGGAGACTCTCCAGATTTATACTAAGTCAGATATGAACTCAAAAGACAACTTGAGTCCAACTTAGACAAAATTTAACTAACTCCTTAGTTTTGCAGAAATTTCGGCAGCACTCATTTTAGAAAAGTGTTCTTCCAAGATTTATACAAAGCTAAGTCCAGAACTTGAGACTAACTTTGACTTCTCAAAGTCCAATTTTGTTTAACTCCCTGAATTAGCAAAAATTTGGGCAGCACTCCCTTTAGAAAAGGAGACTTTCCTGATTTTTACTAGGTCAAATATAACGAAAAGACAAGTTGAACTTTGACAAGTCAAAAATTGACTAACTCCTTCGATTTGTAGAAATTTCGGCAGCGCTTCCCGCAGAGAAAGTAGCTTGCCAAAATTTTTACAAAGCCAAGTACAAAAAACTGATCCCAGAAAATGCGAAAATTGATCTAAGTAAAAAAACTTAGCTCAGAAAATGCAGGAATTGAAACTAACTCCTACAACTCTAGCACGTGGCGAGCGACTAAAGCAACTACTTATCAAACTGAAACTCAGACCAAGTAGTAACCTCACTCAGCCACATGCAGGCTAAACCACAAAGGTAAGTATTCTCACCAGCCCAAGCTTATCTAGTCAACAATAGTTCATGATCCTTCAGTGATTTAACCCCATATACCCTGCTTACATAAGGCATAAGGTCAGGCCACCCAAACTTATTGAATGAGCCTAACTTGCCAAAGAGTATACACAAACAGAGGGCACAACTACTTTTCTCTTCTTTTGGCGCGTGACTAGACCGTTCCAGTCGCCCTGACTTGTTTAAGATATCCAAGTTATATATATATATATATGTCTTCACCTTTGTCTTCTAAGGCTGCATATGACTGAACTAACTTAAGTTCAGTCTGCCCCACTTTACCACCAGTTTTATTCTTAATTATACTCTCTTTAAGTTGTGATACGGCTATAGTCAGACCACCTAAACTTATAGAACAGTTTAATTAGCTCGTTCTTAGATAAGATAGTAATAAGATATAGCCAAGTTATAACCATTGGGTTCCAGCATGTGCGAGGTTTTGAGCCAAACTCTCTGCCAGATTCGTTTCTATCTAAGCCATCATGTGTGTGGCATCGAGTCAAACCCCCTGAACTTACAGAAGGGTCTGCCTCTTTGCCAAAATTATTTCTTCAGAATAAAGAGCAGGAAGAGGCTGAGCCACCTAAACTTATAGAACAACGCATACCTCCTCGTTCAGAAATCAAAGAAACAGATAAATCCCCAGTGAAAACAAGGCAACCCAAGACACCAAAACTTATTGAATGCCCCGAGTCCCTTAAAATCGAGCACAATCAAACCCTCGCAAGTCAGAGTAGTCAGGCCACCTAAACTTATAGAACAGCCTGACCCTTCATAAGCAATCAGACCCCCTAAACTTATAGAAGGGTCTGACGCTCCATACAAACCAAAATAAACAAGGCACTGAGTCTCCCCAAACTTATGGAGACTTCCCAGCCTTAATGACCCAGTCAAACCCTTAATCAAAACAGTCCTCCGTCCTGCCTTCCCCAGATGCAATTCCTTTCAGCAATCTGAATTCACACAATCAATAAAGTTGAAACTGAACTTAACCATACATTCCTTTACTTAGTCTGGTTCAGTGTCCTGAAAGTCAAACCAAAAATAAGGTAGGGCTGCATTTCATATATTTAGCCAGCGATGCAATGGGTAATACAGATAGGGGTTATAACTAGGTTTATAGATGGAAGGCAACAGGTTACCTGTCGGTTCCCTGCCTCCAGAACTCCTCCTGAGTTCCGGCATAGCTCCCACAATCGGTGGGATGACTCCCCATAGAGTCTTGCTTCGGTCCTACGGGTTGCAATCCCGCCTGCTGCCTTCCTCTCAGAACCAGACTAGACTTAAATTTAGAGAGGTAGAAGGAGAGGATACAGACTCTCGATATACATTAGAGGGACAAACTCAACTCCCAGGAGAGGGCCTCGTAACCTTCGTGCGCCTGAGGGTTCCGCAATGATGGTCAAAACGGGCAGCAGTTCGGTCAACCGAGGTCAAACTGTCGGCTGTTGATCCTCTGTTTTCGTCTAATTCACAGTAGTACTCCTGGTTCGCAGCAATAAACTCCCTCACCAAACACATGATCACTACCACCAACCATGATGCCGCCTCTCCTATCTAAGCCGCAATTATGACTCCAAAGAAAAAAAAGGTTGTTTCTCGAGTTGAGCATTTCCCTTTGCTTTATTCGAGTATGGCTATACCGGCTAAATGCGGTAAGGACGACCCGCAACCGATCCCTACTAATGCATGTCAGCAATATATTGCAGCAGTCCCTCTTCACAACCGAAACCCAATGCAACAGCTCTTTGCGACCGCTTAGTGGACAATAACTCGGTAACTGGTGGCTTGGCGGAACAGCAGTAGCCTCTGCCTGTCTTCACTGTTCAGTTCCTTTCCAGCAATCTCCCCTCCGCAGACTAGTTTGAACAGCCAACTGAACGGCTGAGTGCGGGCTGACCGCAAGATCTGAAGCAGCCTGTTGTAGCTGTTTTCATAGGTAGTAGAGCCTTACTGCAAATAGTCACAATTACCAATACGGCAAGTTCAATTCTCACTTCCCCTTTTGTGGCCACCTCACTCCCACTGTTCAAGTTGCGTCGGGTCAACCGTGTAAACGAAAACGAAACTTTTGCTGGAAGCACAGGCAGCTATACGCACGGTTAGCCGTCCAATGGCCCTCTGCTGTTCAGCACCGTAACCCAGCCCTCTGTCTGCCTTCTGGCTCCATTACCCCCACCGCACTGTCTGTCTTCTGGCTCTGTCGCCCCCGCCGCACTGTGTACTTCTATCCTCGTTCATCTCGCTATCCCAGTCTACTCAGCAGACTGACTCAGAGGGTCGATCGGAGACAACCACGTTGAATATGAATGAGCCTAACTATTACGGTATCAGCGGTGACGAGGAGTGACAGCAGCCTTACTCGATGACTTACTGAATGGGCCGCAAAATGAGACTGAACCTTCTGCTAGAATGGGGAAAGATTCACCCGATACTTCTCAGTCCTATGTTAGAGCAGCTTCCCAAAAATCAGCCAGGCACCGGAACTCTCCAGACCCACCCCGCATCGCTGGTCCGCCTTCAGGGTAAGCTTCTTTTCTCTCTCGCCCTCTCTCTTTTACAAACATTCGGCCCGCCCGTCTGCTCGTTGCCTGCGCACTACTAAGTGGGAGGAAGACTTTCGTATGGATGTAGGAAGGCACGGCCCCTGGTTTCTCCTCCTTATCATCGACTACGAGAACAAGTGTTGCAGCAGACCTATTGGCTGAGATACAACCGACCGTTAAGTCTCCTGCCTAGCCGCTGGCCTTACACTCTTTCCGGCGATATGTAATCACATTAAAGGTACAACAAAGGTCCACGCACTACACGGGGTCAACTTCAACCATTTTCTATGCTCATACCCCTCGCTTTAGCCACGAAAACCTCACTTTTGTGCAACTCCCAAAAATAAATACTCAGTACTTTAGTTAAATGACCATTCAATAAAGTCCGAGTAAAAACACAATGAAACAATTCAAACCACAAGGCTAAAACCTTTAGGTTGAGTGGCAAGAGTGGATTGGAGTCGAATCGTAAACCGACGAATCGACAACTGACCTGTTATCAGTGATAATAGAAGATGACCCTCAAGGGATCAAGCTGAATCTCGTCCTGATTTCGAATCAGACACCCCAAAGGACCTGTAACACAAGATAGGTCAAACGCCCAAGCTAAATCATCAGCATATGGGGGATAATTCTCCAAAACACATTCTCTCTCAAAGTTACCTGCCAACTAAGTCCAAGCTTACCTCTAAGCCGGTGCCCAAAGCAAAGGTGAACTAATGGCAGAATCTCCCCTATTTAGGGTGGATCGCCAGAATCGCCACCTGTCAAAATATAATCTAACTCGTCTAAATCAAAAAAATTCTGGCAGCGCTTCCCGTAGGAAAAGTGTCTTTTCATAATTTATATGCGCCCAAGTATGAAGACAAAAATAATCTCCAACTGTGGAAAGTCAAATTCTGCCTAACTCCCTGAATTAGCAAAAATTTTGGCAGCAATTCCCTTTAGAAAGGGAGACTTTCCAAATTTATACTAAATCAGATATGAACTCAAAAGACAACTTGGGTTAAACTTAGACAAGATTTAACCAACGCCTTAGTTTTGCAGAAATTTCGGCAGCACTCCCTTTAGAAAAGTGTTATTCCAAAATTTATAGAAGGTTAAGTTAAGGCTCTGAAAATAACCTTGACTTCTCAAAGTCCAATTTTGTCTAACTCCCTGAATTAGCAAAAATTTGGGCAACACTCCCTTTAGAAAATAAGACCTTCCAAATTTTTACTAAGTCAGATACAAAGAATAGATAAGTTGAACTTTGACAAGTCAAAAGTTGACTAACTCCTTGGATTTGTAAAAATTTCGGCAGTGCTTCCCGTAGAGAAAGTAGCTTGCCAAGATTTATACAAAGCCAAGTATAACAAATGATCCCAGAAAATGCGAGAATTGATCTAAGTAAGAAAAAACTTAGCTCAGAAAATGCAGGAATTGGAACTAAGTCCTATGGCTCGAGCACGTGGCGAGCGACTAAAGCGACTACCTATCAAACTGAAACCTAAACCAAGTAGTAGCCTCACTCAGTCACATGCAGGCCAAACCACAAAGGTAAATACTCTC